AGGCGGCGGGACACTACAAAGACCTTGAGCTGCCTCTAATGTCAGGTTTATTTATTCAAATGACCGATTAAGGTTTGATGGTTTAAGTCTGAGGAGGAAACCAGACGATGCTCCGTGTTTAACGGGACACCCACAGACACGGTTGGCTGATTTATATCTAACTCTGAACTCTTTTCATGCCTATTTTTAGACGCATGCGGAGCATTTTTGGACATTTTCTAAACATTTTTTTTATCCCAAACCGGGATCCGTCCCGGTTTTTTATCTACAGAAGATGAAACCGTGGTGGCCGGAGCTCTTACCTCTCGCGTGTGTCCGCCGCGTGCAGGTCCGGGTGCCGCAGGGGTGTGTGCGCGAGCCGGATTTTTTACCGCAGCGCGCGCACTGCGACTTTCTGGTCTCTGTACCGGACGGGCCCGGTGACGTCACAGGCGGCTCCCGCACGCGCTCCCGTCCAGCCTCAGCACCAGACCCTCCGCACGCGCACACCGCTGCCTCTCTTTTATCTTCTTTAATGACCGCTTATTTGACCGTAATTATCCCAATAAACGTGCAAGTAGAGTTAAAGCTGCACCTGGACGTCTGGGCTGACTGATAACTTTTAACCCTTTAAAGCCTGATCCAAGAAAAATAGGAAGAATATTGGATTTTTTTTAGTCTGAAGTCTTTCTTTGTCCCCTCAACAACATATGAAGAAAAAAAAAGAGAAATTATTTTGATAAAAATAGCGCTCAATAAGTAAAAAATATATTTTGGTGTAGTCTTCTACTGGTTATCAGGTATATCTGAATGTGTACAACAGGGGTTTGAGCAAAGCTTTTACCACTGAATGATGCAAAAAGTCTCAGATCCAAAAGACTTCAGAAACCGTATCAAATATGACACATTTGGCATTATAGGGTTAAAAATAGATTTAAAGTAAAACGTTTGAATTAAATTATAGATGCTAATAGCAGGATAATTTAAAAATCTAAATCTAATCGATAGTTTTGAATGATTTAATTTAAAATAAGGACTTTTAATTATGGTTAAATAAATAGATGGTTCAGTAAAATGACAACTGGTTGGATGCAACAGCAGCATTCCTGTATAACAGCAGAATTAAATTATAGATGCTTATGGCAGGATAAGCATCTATAATTTAATTCAAACGTTTTACTTTAAATCTATTTTTAAAAGTTATCTATAAGTCCAGACGTCCAGAAGCAGCTTTATCTGTACTTGCACGTCTCATTACTCTTTGAACCAAACTCACAAGATGAAAAATGCTCCTTTATTGAAGATGATGTTCATAAATGTTAACCTAGATGATTAAAACATTAAAAAAGACTTAAGACACTAAATGGCTATTGATTAAATCCTATAAGAATGATTTTCTCTTATGCCTCCTTCTTAGCCACAAAAGCTGAAGTTGAAATAAGTCATACATTTGTTTTTCTTTTCTTTGTTTTCTAAAGAATGTGCTGTGAATTATGACACCATGAAGCTTTTTCTTAGCACCCAGAGACCCAAAGTCTCCTCCCCTTTTAACGGGACTAAAAAACCACTACAGGTTATAAATGATCCATTTAAAGAGGACAGAATGAGAGAAACTAATGTCTTCAATATTTGTCCTTTTCTGTTCATGTATGTTAAACACTGCCATTAAAATGAAAGGCAACACTAGAATAAAACATCCTAGATCTCAATTAATTCAATATTGTCATTTAAAAAACTTTATTGTTAAGACAGTGGGATGGATTAAGAAGAAATGATCACATGTACCAGCCCCCGTGGAATTTTGGATTAATGATGGAAACTGTGGTAACTTTTGAATGGAAGTCTGACATGAAATGTGATAACAAAGCAATATTAGCTTGTTTGTGTCATGGGTGTCTTGTCACGTTTCCTGTTTTGTTTTGTAGTCCTTCCTGTCTGGTCCCAGTGCTGCTTTCCTATTGGCTCTCTGCTGATTTCCTGACTCCTCCCTGATCACCTCCACCTGTGTCTCACTGTTTCCTTCCCTGTCTGGTGTTTATATTCCGCACTCTGTCTCTTGTTCGTAATTGTCTTTTTGTCAGTCGTCCAAGCTTTTTCCTATTCTTGCGTTGTATTCCTGGCCTTTGGCTGACCTTTGACCTTTGCCTACCAGTTCTTGACCACTGTTTTCGTACCTGATCATTTTTGCTGATTAAACCATTATGATCCTCGTTCCCTTGCCTGGAGTCCTGAATTTGGGTCCCGGTGTTGTTATGAAGTTAGAGAAAAATCCAGTTTTGGGCTTAACTTGGTGAGACGCTCATTTTTGGATTAAAGATGGAAACCTTTGAATGCAAGTCAGTACAACTGAGGTTTAGTCTGAGAAGATAAAGAACACTTTAAAGATACATTTTTCCTAATTTAAAGCTAGAGAACAATCCAATTTAGGCCTTTTCTTGGTGAGATGCTCATTTTTGTATTAATGTTGGAAACTTCTGAATGCAAGTCAGTCCAACTGAGGTTTAGTCTGAGATGATAAAGAACACTTTAAAGAGCATTTTAATCTAATTTGAAGTTAGAGAACATTCCAGTTTTTGGTCTTAACTTGGGGGAAGCCTCGTGAGGCCGACTCCTCAGAGATGAGGCTGATTTGGAGTTCCATGTTTTGTTCCGGTGTTCCCTTTATTTCTCTGAGCAGAGTGAGTAAATATGGAGGGGGTCCAGGAGGATCTGGGCTGGAATGGGAGATATTGGCCTCCCTGTGGGATCCCAGATGTCACAATAAACACGGAGGACTCCCCGAGGAGAGAGGGAGGAACAAATGTGCCTCTGGACTCTGTTTGTTCAGAAGATGGTCGACAGGACGTCGTCGTGTAGACCAGTGTTTTTCAACCACTGTGATGGTCAGGTGTGCCGTAGAAAATCATCCTATTTCACCTAATTGGTCTAAAAATATTTTTTGACAAGGAATTAATTATCTGCAAATAATATGCCATTTTTGAGTGTCTGTGCTGTTCTAGTGACTGGCGGCGTAATCATGTAATAATTCCTTATGATTTTGTATATAATTTTGTTAATGTTAAGTACAATTTGAAAGAATAAATATAAAATATGATAAAAATACATTTTTATGTTTAATTGATTCCTATTCAAGACACCTGAGATAAGATTAGAATAACTATAGTGTTACTATAGGCGGCTGCAGATTTGTTTGACATTTTTGGTTGGTGGTGTGCCTCGAGATTTTTTCAATGAAAAAATGTACCTTGGTTAAAAAAAGGTTGAAAAACACTGGTGTAGACGGACGGTGAGCGAGGAATCAGGACCACAGCTTCCTCCAGAATGAGGCCAAGGCACGTTTATACTGAGTCTGTGATCCAAAACCAGTCAGACCAGAGCCGGACCTGATCTGTAGCATTACCTCCACACGGGGGGGGTGGTGATAAGTGTCCCATCTCTGGAAAAAGAGCAATCCACAGGACAGAGTGGGCGGAGTCACAAGCCCCATCTCAGCTCTCACAGCTGGAGTTTTCCAGCTGTTAATCCTCCAAATGTAAAGAATCCAGCTGTTAGGCCTCCAGATGTTAACTCATTGACTGGCAGCCATTTTCAGAACAGAGAGTCCCATACTGCCAGAGTTTTTTGAGCATTTTGACTGATTTTTCAAGAGCCACAGATTAGTTTGTGCTATGACTATGTAAACACCGAACACACCAAAAGAAAGAGGAGACTCTCTTCTTTCATCAGGAAAAGAAAAAAGTGTTTTTACCTTCTTCCGTTCTTCCTGGACTTGCGTCTCACCGGCGACATGTTCTCTCATAGCGAACTGTTCCCTTTTTCTTATTTGCCTACAGTCTATGCTCATCTCCCATCAAAAGTGGCACTGCCACCTAGAGGGTCAATTTGTTACTACATACTCTGTCTAGAAGCCGATATTTACGGACAAGCTTTAGCAGATCGTCCCCCAGCCACTCGCATTGAAAAACATAAAAGATGTCTATAGACTTCTTTGGAAGCAAATGGTTGTATTTGAATTGACGTCTATAGACGTCTTTGGCAGCCAATGAGTTAAGCCTCCAGCTGTTTGGACTGTTAAACATCCAGATGTTAAGTTTTCAGCTGTTAATCCTCCAGATGTTAATCCTCAGATGGGGGTGTTTGGCAGGTGCTGCTC